ACAACAATGTGTTCAGTTGAGTCTTTGAGAGAGTTTGTCAACGAGCGACTAACTGCTGCTGCTGAAGAAATATTGGGAGTTTTTCAAAGAAGCATCGTCGAGTACGAGGAAGAGATCGATCGTCAGCGCAGACTGTTGGATATCGTTTTGAAGCCTGAAATAAAGTTACACAGGACAGGTGGGTGAAAGCTAATTGAAGTAATTTACTGGCATGTGTGTATATTTGCTGTAGCATGACATTAGTATGCTGTTGGTGTTGTTGTGTGTCCCTCCAGAGCTCCCACAGCAACATGTGTGTAAGGAGGAGGAGGTTGTCCCTGAGCAGCAGCTCTGTATTGAGGAGAGGAAGTCCAGTGTGGACCAAGAGGAGCCAGAGCCTCCACACATTAAAGAGGAAGAGGAGGAAGTGTGCAGCAGTCAGGAGGGAGAGCAGCTTGTACTGAAGCAGGAGACTGATGGCTTTATGTTGACTCCTGCTGAAGAGGAAAGTGAGCACAGTGAAGATCAGACTCTGGACTTCATTCATGACGACACTCAAAGTGCAGCAGAGAAAGAGTCTGTCGTCATCATACCAGTTATAAGCTATGTGATACCAACCAGTGACCACCAGCTGCTCTCTCACAACTTTCATGTAGCTGAGAGCCAAGATGAGGAAGAATACCAGCATGGAGACTCAGGATCAACTAGAAACACAGAGCTTCAAGCAGAGAAAAGACATCATGAAAGTGAAATTAACAGTAAAAGTCCACACACCTCTGCTGTGATCAACTTAAATACAGGTAAAAAGCCTTTAAAATGTGACATATGTGGGAAAGTTTTTGAGTACAAGTCAAAATTGCAGAGACACCTGAACAGCCACACAGGTAAGAAGCCGTATACTTGTAAAGTATGTGGGAAAAGAGTCAATGACACATCAGCATTGAGTGCTCATATAAGAACCCACACAGGTGAGACGCCGTATACTTGTAAAGTATGCGGGAGAGGTTTCAGACGTAATGGTGACTTGTTAGTCCACATGAGGACTCATTCAAGTGAGATGCTGTATACTTGTAAAGTATGTGGGAGAGGTTTCGTACGTAAAGATTACTTGTTAGTCCACATGAGGACTCATTCAAGTGAGAAGCCGTATACTTGTAAAGTATGTGGGAGAGGTTTCATACGTAATGATTACTTGTTAGTCCACATGAGGACTCACACAGGTGAGAAGCCATATACTTGTAAAGTATGTGGGAGAGGTTTCGTACGTAGTGATTACTTGTTAGTCCACATGAAGACTCATTCAAGTGAGAAGCCACATACTTGTAAAGTATGTGGGAGAGGTTTCAGACATAATGGTATCTTGTTAGTCCACATGAGGACTCATTCAGGTGAGAAGCCGTATACTTGTAAAGTATGTGGTAGAGGTTTCGTACGTAAAGATTACTTGTTAGTCCACATGAGGACTCATTCAAGTGAGAAGCCGTATACTTGTAAAGTATGTGGGAGAGGTTTCGTACGTAATGATTACTTGTTAGTCCACATGAGGAATCATTCAGGTGAGAAGCCGTATACTTGTAAAGTATGTGGGAGAGGTTTCGTACGTAATGATTACTTGTTAGCCCACATGAGGACTCACACAGGTGAGAAGCAGTATAATTGCAAAACATGTGGGAGACACTTCAGATCTAGCAATACCTTGACAGTCCACATGAGAACGCACACAGGTGTAAAGGTGCATCACTTGAGCACAGAGGTTCCAGTTGAAGTCACACATATACAGGAGAGAGACTGTTTACATGCAAAACATGTGGCAGAGCTTTCAGAGGCCTGTTCCATAAAGCATGCTAAGAAAAGTGGGGAGTGAAGTCCAAATCCTGAATTTTAATTGAAATTGCAGGTCTGGAAAAGTTAAACTAGTGAGATAAAGAAAAAAAGGAGGAAACTGCTTTAAAGTTTGAATGAATTTTATACTTGCAAGAGTCATGGAAACCCTGGAAAAGTCATGGAATTAGTCAAAATCATAAGTCACAGAACTTGTTTGTGTATAATGAAATTATTAGAATCATCTTCAGTGGATAATCCTCCATAAAATGTAACATAATGGCAAATTCATTTTTCTGAAGCTGGCGTCTTAATGTAGCTTTAATATGCATTGATGTGTGACAGTGTTTGTTTACCATCAGGTGTGTTTTGTCATTTTCTCCCTCAGTTTGTCTCTCCCTTCCTGTGTGCCAATTATGTTTACATAGAGTTTGAATCAGATGTTTGAAAAACGCCGGGCAAGTGGGGAAAGAAAAAGAAAATTCTTCATTGTGAGTCCTTGAAAAGTCATGAAAAAGTTTGGAAATATTGTCCGTGAAAATGTGAACGGAACCTATAATTAAAAGTATGACTGATTTTGCAGTGAGCACAGTAATAAACTGATCCCAGAAGATTTGTCCTGTTGCTGTGATCTTTTGTCAGGGTGTCTACGGGTCCTTTTAAAATGTCTTAGATTAACGGGCAAGTCATAGAGGAATTTATGGTGGATAAAAGTTTAGTATGTATGAATGATGGGAGTGGTACCAGGTATAATAGTGTGCAAAACACAGAAAGTGCAATTGATTTAACATTTGTGTCAGAAGAAGTCGCTATTGTTACCACATGGAAGGTGTTAAGTAAATCAGCAATAGGTAGTGATCATTAGCCTGTAATAATTAAGACTGGAGTAGAAGTTCACCAAGATGAGGATCTAAGACTACCAAGATGGAAATTAGATAAAGCAAATTGGGAGGTGTATAAAAAGCTATGTAAGAATAAATGTGAGCTGTTAAACAAAGAAGATTTCTCAGATGGGGATGAATTCAATAACAAGCTGGTAGCAGTCATAGTACAAGCAGCAGAGGAAAGTATACCAAGGGGTGCTGGGAGCAGAAGTAAAAAGACTGTGCCATGGTGGGATGCAAACTGTAGGGAGGCTATAAATATTGTAATAAAATTGGAAGAGAGTCGTCATTATCTGATGTATGGGGGATGCGTAGATGAATGAGCGGAATCAAGAGACATTATACAATTCCAGTATTAATTAGTGACAATAAAACAGCGGTCAGTAATAGGGATAAAAGTGAACTTTTGGCAGAAACATTAGTTAAAGTACACAATTCCGATAATTTATCAGTCAGAGCCAGACAGTGCAGGGACAACACTCTTGCCATGAGTCCAGATGTGAATGTACTGAGAATCACCACAATAGATGATTTAGATGTACCCTTTAATTTATTTGAGTTAAGGAGGGCACTCTTAAAGGCACAGCAATCATCTCCGTGAAAGGAGAGTATCTGTTATAGTATGCTAGCCCACATGGAAGATAGTGCACTTAAAGTAGTCTTAAGACTATTCAACACAACCATAGTGCCAATAGTAAAGTCTGGGAAAGATCAATCAGAGAGGTCAGGGTGGGTACAGAGTACTCAAAGTTATATAAAGTTGAAAATGGAACCCCGCAAGGCAGTGTTTGCAGTCCAGTACTATTCAATATAATGATTAATGACATCTTTGATAAGGTTGAAACATATGTAGGGAAGTCCTTATATGCAGATGATGGGGCCTTATGGCTAAGAGGACGAAATTTAACATTTATCCAGAAAAAAAATGCAGGCAGCAATTACGGCAGTGGAACAGTGGGTGAATGACCGGGGCTTTATGATGTCTGCTGCAAAGACACAAGTGATATGCTTTTCCAGACGACATAAAGACGTGATTGTAAAATGATATGGTCAAACACTCGAGCAGGTCAAGGTAGTTAAATTTCTAGGGGTGATATTTGATGAAAAGCTGACCTGGAAACAGCATATTAACAAAGTCACAGAGAAATGTAAGAAGATTAATAACCTCTTAAGATGTCTGTCAGGAAGGGACTGGGGAGCTACTAGAAAAGCACTATTAAAAGTATATCAAGCATTAAATGAGATCAGTATTCGACTACAGGCACCAGATTTCATTTAAAGGTGGCTGGAAAGCAAGACACAAAGTAGCATTGACAATGTGGCAGTGCAAGAGTGGAAGTGGGCCTGTGATATACTGCAGGGCTGATGAGGGAAACAGGTGAGTAGGTGGGAGTGGGAGCTAAGTGGGACAGGTGGGAGAGTCAGAGGGCATCTGGTAGATGGATGGAGAATAGCAAAGCAGGGGCCTGGGGAAGTGGAGACAAGGGTGGAGGGGCAGAATGAGTGAAATAAAAACAACTGAGACACAAACTGTCTGGGACTTGAGTGCTTGAGACTTGCGTGTGACTTGCAAAACAGTGACTTGGTCCCACCTCTGTCTGAGCCTCTTTTTAACCACTCAGCTTCCTGAAATGGTCAAGTTAAACATGAAGACATGGGTGGAGCTTTAAAATTGTCCCCATGGATTATGTTTCTGCCTTTTGTCATTTATTTTGAAGAGCTGACAGATGGTCCTTCACACCAGGAGGTGGCAGCAAAAGTCAAACTGACTCTGAACCACAGCTTCTGTAAGAATGATGCTGTGTGCTCCATGTGACTGCTCTTGTCTTACAGACCCTTAGCCCACTGTATTATTTGACCAGGTAAAGATTGTTTTAACCTCATTTTCATCCTTTATTGAGTCTGTTTTTCATCGTTTCACCTCCAACATGCAGGCTGGTACATTTTGTGTTGCCCGCAGTCACAGCGTCTGTCTCAGTTGTTTTTATTTCTGTCAGTCTGTCCCTCCACCATTGTCTCCACTTCCCCAGGCCCCTGCTTTGCTCTNTTATTTATACTTTTGGCATTTTGAGCAAATTCATGGATTATATATAGGCTACATAGTTCATCATAATCCTGAATGCTACTGAATATTAAATGTGTCCTCATTTTAAAATAATCCTGGATGTTCTGAAAAAGAAAACGTGCAAAGCACATAATGTGAAGTAGGACAAGACAACACAGTCCTTTGGTTATATTTTCAAATGATATTTTTGCGTTTTTTTCTTCACTATGAACACACACTAGCTCATTTTGAGTTAATGTGTACTCACTACAGCACCAAATATATATATATCAGCAGCTCTGCACACTGTACAAAGAGATCTCCCATCTGCCTGATGAACATGATTGCTGAAAATGTCAAAATACAAATCAAGTAAAAGTACAGGTAGGCTATAATACAGAGCATGAAGTCCAGATTAGCAAATAAAAATCATGTAAATGTTTCCAGTGGTGGTGTTTTTTAAAGAGGTGTCTCCATTGCAGAGGAAAGAGCGGCCTCTGGTGGTGTGAGGTGAGAAAGAAAAGCTTACAGCACCGGGTATTCCCAGGCGGTCTCCCATCCAAGTACTGACCCGGCCCGACCCTGCTTAGCTTCCGAGATCGGACGAGATCGGGCGTATTCAGAGTGGTATGGCCGTAAGCAAATAAAAATGAAACACACAAGCTATTTATACTTAATAACACAATGGTAACAATTCTCAACATGGTTGAACGTGGTTATTGATAATCTATGATTTTCATTTAGGCAACAAATCCCATGGAAACACCAAAACTAATGAAGTCAAGTCTCGAACACATATTTTCTGTGTATCCACACTTTGATGAAGCGTATTCCTCTGTGCCATAAGTTATTTTGTCTGCCAAAATTATTATTAAAGAAAGCAATATCATATAACATACAATGCTTTTTCTGTCCTGCTCTAAAAACACATCTATAAATAAAATCTCAACATTTGAATCTTTACAGGATCTGCCCATAACACTGACACACACCCATACAAGAAACATTCACATGTCATTATTGTGTATTACTGTCAACATAGTTGCTGTACAAATGTATTTATAATGTTTAAACATAGACACTGTGTAGGATCATCGATATATAGTATAAACACAGTAAGATGTTTTTTCATGTAAATTTGAATATGGATGTGTAAAACAGAGGAGCAGATATTTAAAGAAACTTTGTCATGTGGTGTCATAGCACCATCTATGTACATACAGCAGGTCCCTGCTATGCATGCTGGCTCTCTTTAATGAAACTGTAATTACTTTTATTTGTTCCACATGTGCTTTTGCTGCTTTAACAAGTGAGGTGGTCTGAGTCAGATCCTAATATTACTGTAGTAGGCTGCACCATACATGGTTTTTCCCTCCTTGCTTCAGAGTGAAAGCAGCTGAAGTGGGCCATTGCCAGCGTTCTCTCCACACATCAATGACTGCCTGTCTCATCTTTAACCAGAGGAGAGCAGCATTGGACAGTCGTTTTACTGCAACACTCATAAACGTGTCACTAACTATCTGGTAGTCATTGCAGTCAATCACAGGTGTTCACATTTATAATGAGCACTAAAGTAAAGGTTAACTTTGTTATTGAGCAGCCCTGCAGTGTGCTTGGTCAGGAAGTACATCTTGGGTGTAGATTTTGGGGGTCAGCGGGGGCACATGTCCCCTTAATATTTATTAGACCATGTGCGTTTTTCATGTGTGATGAAAGTCGCAAGGACTTTCACTTCAACAGAATTAAAGACATTTACACCATAAACAAAAAAAAGGCACATATGATGCATAAAAATCACCAGCATGGAGGAAATCTACACCCAACACCCATTCCCACCCCATTTTATAGGCCTATTAGTCCCCTCTAAATGTTGACAAGAATCCTACACCCTTCCTTTGAATTATTTTGATTATTATTGACTTAATTTATTTCACCTACTTTTAGTATTTATATAGGTTTTCCCAATTGTGCCTACATGTTTTAACTTGAGAAAATGTTCAATGGACTTTCAGTAGTGACAGAGTAACAGTAAAAGCAACCAAGCATGTTAACAGTCAGTACGTTTACATGGACAGTTTAATTCCACTTTCATTTGGAATGAACTGCCATTCCGATTAAAAGTGGTCATGTAAACGGTCGTTCCGATTGAAAATGAAATCCGATTAAAGGGGTCT